GTAACTGCTAGGAAGGGAAAAAATTTTAAAACACACGGGGGGGAAAAAAAACAGCAAAAAATCCACATGCACATCCATTTCAGCTCAACATCCAAAGCAGTTTTTATGTCTTCTTGCAATATTATCAGCTTAGACAATTTTATTTGTTGGATTTTGTTGTCATGCCTTCTTCTGACTAGAATGGTAGGCTTGTATAAACTATTTTAAGACTGAGATTTTATTTAGTCTACTGACACCAAGGAAGACCTGCTATGACTGCAGCTTTGGTTAATTACTCCTACAAGGATGAAGTCAGTTAGTTTATCAAAGCAAGGAGCAAATATTTTTAATATTTTCTGAGTATAAAAATTAAAATCGTGCCCCAAGACATCTAAAGTTTGTGTCATATTGTGTTACAGACTGTTTGCAGTGGAAAACACTTCATATCTGTTACTCCTTCTGACGTGCTTTTGTGTAGCTCATCAACTCTCTGGGTCAGGGGCAATCTCTTCCTTGCACTTTTACGAGTGCAATAAAATCTCTAAAACAGGCATCTCCAGGATGTGTTTCATGGAAATAGTTTCACTGTAGAGTAGGAATGGCTTTACCATGTTGAGATTACAATAAATGCGTGGAACCCTTGATGTTGTCGTGGATTATTCAGCAGGGATACACCACAAGGAGTGGTGGTGCTGACAGATGCTAAAGGCACCATAGTTCAGGAGAGATGAGACTAATCTTGACTTTACCACTGTCTCTGCCTGTACCAGGTGGGATGACAGGATTGGCAGGATTGGCAGGAAGGCAATGAGGTGTGAGGGTAGCCCTTGAGACAGGAAACAGGGTTCCCACTTCTCCCACACTTCTGATTTTTACCAGAACACCAAACATGTTTCTCCAACCTCTAAAGCAAAGTGGATTCTGAAACCTTTCCTTTCTCTGTGACCAGAGTGAAGTAGATCCAATCCCATAGTCTTCTTTCCTTCTGAGCAAGCAGACATCCCCTAGGACAAATTACAGATGACAAGTGAAAATATAGACTGGAGAGAGCCCTAAATGATAAATTGCTTATTCTGCTGCCTTAGTGATTTGATGTGGTTTAAAAAAGAAACAAAAGAAGAGACAAAAATCCCCCAAAATTCAAACAACTTGAATTAGGTCTGGTTCACATAAGAAAAGAGCAGAGGCTGTTAGAATGAATATTTCCAAATGAGGACAGAATTGGAATTTCAAGGCCAGGCTGGATTCTGGGGTTCTAGCAACCTGGTCTAGTTGAAGGTGTCCCTACCCATCATGGCAGGGGGTTTGGAATGAGATGACCTTTAAGGTCTCTTCCAACCAAAACCATTCTGTAATTCTGTGATTCTATGGATGGGGAATAGTAACCATAAGTTGTTCTCTCTGACCTTAGGTAAGTTCCTTTTTCTTTCCCCACCTGCTCTCCACTGGATACAACCTGCTGCAGGCAGAGATTTGTTATCCTTGTGAGTCAGATTCCAAGTCTGGAGAAGTCTGTAGGAGTATTTCCATCGACATCTCGAGGCTCTGGACCAGCCCATCAGAAATTGTGCCATGGCTCGTTCAGCTGGGGCACAATTGCATTTGAAGCCTTCAAATGCTCCCACGTTGTAAATAATAGTCAACATCTCATCAAATTAATTCAACTGGTTATCAAATCAGATCTAATCAAAGCCTGGAATATTTGTTTATAAACACTGTCTCTTTATTTTCATTTGTTTTAATTGAGGGGGGGAAAAAAGCCAAAATTTCAGAAATGTCTCAGAAGGTGGAATTATGGAAGCATTTATTTTCAGAAAAATTAAAACAACCTTATTAAAACTCCATTTATATACAGCTTGAAAAGCCTTTTTTCAGATGAACAACATATTGAAGTAAAACAGAAAAAAATATTAAATTTGAAACTATTGAAACAGTGTCAAATTACTCTTGATGTGCTGGATTTTGTTGAGTTAATGTGCATCGACAGTATATTAGAATTTACTGAAACCTCCATTTTCTGACAGAAAATTATTTTATCCAAAACCAATTAAGTCTTTTTTAACACAAATTAATTCTGATCATGGAACAATTCACATAAAATGGTACATGTGATCAAAGGTCTAACAAATTGCTCAGAAATGTTGAGATTATATGATAGATTTTCCTTCTTTGGGAATCACATGCAGATATGGCACCAGCCACAATATGATAAAAGACTTGGAAAAAATGAGCTACCTGTAAACATTTCTCATTCATTATCTTGAGTTTCTGCTACTGTGTGACAAATCATTAGTCCCAGTGTAAGGCAAGCTTTAAAAATGTAATTACTTAATCATGCAGTTAGTTCCCCATCAATCCTACCAGCACTTGTTCTTAACTAGCTTTAAAGAACAGAATTAGGAGTAATTTGTAAGCGAAAGTAATTGAGGAAAGGCTGATATTGCCAAGGTGTTGACAGCACTGCACATGGTGTTGTTTCTTTTTATTCTCCAGCAAAGCAGTGGTCTGCAAACTTTGCTGAACAGCACGGGTGGAGCCTTATGACATGTCCCAGTGTCCAAAACTGAGGTCAAGAATGGGGATTTTCCTCATTTTGTTTCACCACCTTCATGGGTGGCAGAAAGGAGGTATGGGACAAAGAGAGGATGGGTCCATGAGACCTGGATATTAGGCTTGTAATAAATCCTGTTTGGTTTTCAGAGATCTTAACGTCAGGAACAGCACTGACCCAGAAAAGGGAAAACATATGTTGAGAGCAAGAAGAATCAGAGCTTGTAGTCAGGCAATGTTATATTTCATAAAACTCCAGGGGATCTAAAGTAGGGTAAACTAGAAATGGGTGGTGAATGGGAACTTTTTAATGTGATCTGTTTCACTGGAGAATGTAGATTCATCAAAGCTTGAACTGTCAGAAGGAAAAAAAATATTTTTAACTCTTTTTGCACCTGTGAAAATTCTGAAAAATTATTTGAAATTATTCAAGGGTCCTGTTTTGTCACGTCCAAGGATGAAAAAGCCTACTGTCCTGATTTTAATCAACTTGTGAACCACAGTGTCTGCATGTATCAAAAGTAGTGTGGCCAGAAGCACCAAGGAAGTGATTGTCCCTCTGTGCTGGGCACTGTTGAGAACATACTTGAAGTCCTGTGTCCAGTTCTGGGCCCCTCACTTCAAGAAAGATATTGAGATGCTGGAGCAAGTCCAGAAAAGGGCAACAGAGTCTGAAGAGTCAGTCATATAAGGAACAACTGAGGGAGTTGGGGGAGCTCAGCCTGGAGAAAAGGAGACTCAGGGGGGACCTTCTCACTCTCTGCAGCTCCCCGACAGGAGGTGGGAGCCAGTGGAGGTTCGGGCTCTGCTCCCAGGGAACAAGGGACAGGACAAGATGACATATCCTCAAGCTGTGCCAGGTGAGGTTCAGTTTGGACATCAGGAGGAATTTCTTCATGGACAAGGTGGTCAGTCTTTGGAAGTGGCTGCCCAGGGAGGTTTGGAGTCCCCATCCCTGGAGGTGTCCAAGGAAGGACTGGACGTGGCACTCAGTGCTCTGGGCTGGGTGACAAGGTGGGGATCAGTCACAGGTTGGACTTGATGATCTTGGAGGTCTTCTCCAACCTAAATGATTCTGTGATGTTCATTCTATCTATCTATCTATCCATCTATCTATCTAGCCACCTACCTTTCCAGCACAATCCTGAAATAGTCGAAATGAAAATCAATACTTTAAAAACTGTAAATTCAATTAATTTTGGCATTCTTGTTCTTGACATAAAAGTGGAGCTGGCTGGAAATAAGTCTAACTGTTCTGAAAGCAAGTCAGTTAAAAAAATATTTATGAAATCAGATAGGAAAATTAAAAATAAGATCTATTTCTGGAGGAAAAAAAACCCCAACAGATTGCTTTGTTACCAGGATTTTTTCTTCTTGGAATGATTAAGTTTCCATGCAGGATGCTGCATATGGAGGTAGACTATTCAAGGAGATTTCTCTACACCTGCTGTGTATGGTGCCATGTATGGAGAGAAAGACTGAGGACACTCAAGTCAAATGGCAAGAAACCAAGGAATTTTCCAGAGGAAACTTGCCTGCTTTTTATCAAGTGGTTCACGAAAACTAATATCAGGATGTGTATATTTTCAAAATTGGCTATTTCTTTTAGGGAAATTTGGTCCTAATTTGGGAGGAGGAGGTGTTGGATCAGTTTTCACTGTTTTGCAACAGCCAGAAAGACACGATGAAATCAGGAAAGAAAGATATTAAGAGTTGTCTGATACTGTGATCTATGCCCTTGCAAGTGATGCAATGGAAGAAAGTGTTTTTTTCAGAAAAGAGAATCCTTCTGGTCAGGGGTGAGGGCTGGAGAAGGGTATTCAAAGGGAATGTGATCTGTGGAAGAAAGTGGAAATGGCTTGTGAAGGTTAAAGTTCAGTGCAGAAGGTGTGTCTACCCCAGCTTAACTGAAACTAATTAAGTGTGATTGCAACACATTTCTTTTCAATAATTGTGCCTGTGGGTTTATTTAGGACATAATGTTGAAGGATTCTGAAGGTACAGTCCTCGTGACATCTGATCCAATCACGGCGTGTTTGTGTTTAGCACTCTCTTGTCTTCACCAAGAGATGAGAAATTTAATAAGAACCATGTGCTCAGCTCATCTTAATAACTTCTAAATCACTCCAAACTCCTGCTATTGCAAATCCTGCCTTTATACCATACACTTGTCTTGGCTGGGAGTTGCAAACAGGGAGGGAACAGAAGGAAAGTTACTTGATAGGATGAGGGGGAATGGCTTCAAACTGTCAGAGGGTAGATTTGGATGAGATATTAGGAAGAAATTCTTCCCTGTGAGGATGGTGAGGCCCTGGCACAGGTTGCCCAAAAAAGCTGTGGCTGCCTCATCCCTGGAAGTGTTCAAGGCCAGGTTGGATGGGGCTTGAAGCAACCTGGGATAGTGGAAGGTGCCCCTGCCCATGGGATTGGAACTCGTCGGTCTATGAGGTCATTTCCAACCCAAACCATCCCATGATTCCATGAAGCACTGCACACTCACAGCTCCAATGTGATGCTTTGCATAATGGCAGTTCAAAGTGATGGAGGAAATCATGCCAATCAGTGCACTCAGGTAATTGAACTTCTCCTTTTCCTTAGAGATATTGTGTGGGTGGACCATGACTTTCTTTTGTTATTTTAGCCAGCAGGTATTTCAGCAACAGAAACAACAATATTTGCCTGTAGGGTTTTTGCACAGAAGATTAGGGTGTGAATAGTTTTTTTTTCTTATGATTAACTGAATGAGGACAAGCTTATATTGCTTTTTTTAAGACAAAAGCAAAATCTCTCAGTTCAGTCTTTGAGTTGGTGCCATTGATCTGGGAGCTGTATAATCCTGTTACTGAAGCCCTGGATGAAAAGTGAAAAAATGCCACCAACTTGTTAAATGTGTGTTAAGTGATGCTCCAAATGCTGCTACAAAAACCATTTCTGGTGCCCTTTAGCCTCTTCAGCTTCTTCAGGAACAACTTGAGAAGAAGTTGAATCTTGGCTTGTTTCCCAATCTATTTAGAAGACCTCTTTGAGGGAAATAGAAGTGTGACAGATAACTGCTGTGATACAACTGTCACAGAATCTCAGAATGGTTTGGATTGGAAGGGGCCTCTGGAGATCATTCAGTCCAACCTCCCTGCTAAAGCAGGTTTACCTGGAGCAGGTTTCACAGGACTATGTCCAGGTGGGAATCTCCAGAAAAGGACGCTTCATAACCTCTCTGGGCAGCCTGTTCTAGTGCTTTGTCACCCTCCCAGTAAAGAAGTTTTTCCTCATATTCAGATGGAACTTTCTGTGTTTCGGTTTGTGTCCATTGCCCCTTGTCCTTTCACCAAGCACCACTGAAAAGAGCCTGGTCTTTAACACTTGGTCCATCTGACTCAGATTAGGATTAAAAATGGTGGAATTAATTTCCTTTTCATGTTAAGACTGCTAAATATTGGATGTCTAGATCTAGTGTTTTCAGGTTTACATTTTTTGTGCCTGTAGATAAAAACTAGGACATTCTGAGAGCTCTTTGCCTGTCTCAAAGACGGATGTTAGGAAGGGACAAGTCCCTATATCCAAGGTTCTCTTTTCTCTGACTGAAAGCACCCTTGAGTGCCTAGCTGAGACTCAGCACATCTAGACACCTAAATGGGATGAGAAGAAAGAGATTTGAGTGCTTTAATCTATCTCTTACTCAAAAGTAAGACCCTAGCCTCTAGTGGAACAGGTCTCTCCTAATTTTGCAATGACATGTCTTTGTAAAACCAAACCAATTTTGCAAATATTCTTTATAGTTGTTCATTATGCAGCATTAACATTTTGTATTCAGCAACATTCAAGGCATCTGAGGAAAGATGAGCCAAATTCACACATCCAAAACCTTGGAAAAAGGTAAAGTGAACTAGCCCCACAGAAACCATTCGCTCCTCATGAGCTCTCACCCCAGAATCTACATCTTCTAACCTCTGTCTGTAAGGATAGGTCTTGTTTAACAACTGCATAATGTGATGGTACTGTGTATTTAATAAAAGTACTGAAACTGCTTCATGGTGCCACAGATTCACTTGCTGAACATGTCATGAGGCAAAATTTTATAGGCATTGTAAAATCTTTTTACCACACACAGCTGCATTACCCAAAATTACTCAAATCTGCAGGGCATCTGAAACACACACTACAGCAATAATAGGCTTTGCTGCTTAAAAAGTGATTATGACTAATGCACAAAAACAATTATCACCAAGCTTAATTGCAAAGAATTAAGCACAGAATATATATGTATATAAGTATGCACACAAACATATATATATATATATGTGCATATATATCACATTCCGTATCTAGTTTCTTACTAGAAAAGAGGATCTAACAAAAGTAAAGATGAGGAGAATATGGGTAATTCTGGAGGGGGAAAAAAAATCAAAAATATAAAATAAAAAATTACTCCACAAAAAAAAAAAGACAGAAAGAGTTTATTCAATGGAAAGTATGGAAGTCAGCCAGAAAGTACAGACAGTTATCTTAGTGTTAAGAGTGAAGAGGGCTTTACTGAGAATTATTAGAATTGAGCTGGGTTAGAGCAAAATGTCCATTGACAGTACACTCATTTTGGGAGTGATTGCAATGGATCCTCAGGTGAAGACTACAAAACAGGAAAAAGCTAAAATTCTATTTATTTCTTACAGATATGTTGCCACTTTCCAGCAACATGAGTCTTAAAAGGCTTTAAAAGCCAGAGGTACAATCTGTTTCTTTATTTATTCCCATCCTTGGAAGTGTTCAAGTCCAGGTTGGCAGGGCCTTGGAACAACCTGCTCTGGTGGAAGGTGTCCCTGCTCATGGCAGGGGGATCGGAACTAGATGATCCTTGAGGTCCTTTCTAACCCAAACAATTCTATGATTCTATGATTCATAAAATCTGAACTAACTTGTCCTTCATCAGCTTTTTTAGCTGCTTTTTGAAAGCATTTATATTTTTGGCCTCCATGGCCATATTTTCATGAATTTCCATACAGAATTATCTGCCTTATATACTGATACTCTTCCATGCTATCAAGATTGTCTGGTTGCATGGTCTGGAGAAAGCCAGTATTCCTACTTTGCTGTCTAAATCCAGGACACCATGTGACATTCCACACCTGCCTCTTACCCACCCCCACCAGATCAAGTCAGTGCAGTGTCTGCATAAAGTCTTGTTATAAACCAGCAGAACAGGTACCAACTATTTCATTATAATCATTGTATTGATATTTATTCTTCAGCTTCCAGGTGTGGTGGTCCTTAAAGGAGGAGAGAGTTGTGATTAAGGCAGAAATAATTAGTAAAATGAGCTAAACCCTCAACTGTTGCTGGCTTCATTGACTTCAAGAAAATTAGGTCAACTGATGTCAATTGGGGTCCCCACCAGTTGAGTTTACTCTTCCTTCTGCTTCAGGCTTTTGCTGTGACCTTCAGTAATTACACCATACAGCAGGCACATGAGTGGAGTGACTAAGTTGTTCAAAAGGAGGAGGATAAAAACACCAGAAAAAATGCAATTATTATTAGCAGTACAAATTGCAGTGAGGCCCATAGCCTGGAAAAGGCAATATTTGCAGTGTGCAATCAAACATGGATAGGATGGTGCTTGGGAACACTCTGCTCTGCTGACAGGGCTCTGTCAAGCAGTCCTCTCACCCCTGGCTGTGGATCACTGTGTTAACAACTGTGTCAAGGTTTCCTTGATTGTGCTGCTACAGATGAGTGGTTTGATGCAGCTTTGGACTCTCAGGCTGTCTTTGAATTAGTAAACCTGCAAAAGCAGGTCAGTGGCACCTCCCATTAAATTGTTAGAATAGCCACTGGATTGTGTTTGTACAAAACAACTCACAGGTAACAGCACTGGAGCACTCCCCAGCAGCAGTTTGGCACTGAGGGTGATAGAGACCTGCTGTATGGATAAAAACACTGCTGTGCCAGGTCCTCTGACTCCCAGAATTGTCTCTGGATCTGTTTAAATATGCAGCCTGTGAGGTTGAAGAAAGTCCAATGTACTTCTGTTGTACCTATTTACCCTCTATTCAGACATCTCTTGTTGAAAACTGAGTTTCTTGAATTGATGATGGACACAAAAAGCACGTGTTGACGTGAAGATCAGCAAAGCACAGGCTTTCTGCTTGGATGCTCTACGGGCATGTATTTTTTTGGATGGATTTATTATTTTCTAAATAATTAGAATGTCAAAAATCTGGGGCCCATAATGATGCTGCAATATTTATATTTTATTAAAGATTAATTTAATTTAGTCTAAAATTTAGGCATGTGGAGATAACTCAACAGCTGCCAGAGGGAAAGGCAGACTCCTTCAGAGTCTCTTAGATGTTTCTCTCCAGATGGGACAAATTTCCTTCTGGATGTGCACATCCTCCTCTATCAACCATTAAGGGAGCCCAGATGACTTGCTTGGAATGTATGCCTGGTGTTTTAATGATAAAATTAAGGAATGACTCACACTCACAGACTTTGAGTTTGCTAAAGGAGGTTAGAATCTCCAAAGCCCAACAAAAATTAAAGGGAATTAGGTGTTTAAAGCCAAACTTTGGGTAGATCAGGGCTGGTTCTCCTAGAGAAATAATAAAGTCATGTTTTGGGGGTTTTTTCCATCAGAAGTGCAAAACACAGCAGCCTTTGAGTAAAATAGCAGATTTTTTGGCTGACATTTTCTCGAACTTTGAATTTCTAGAAGACACCATATTTGTAACAATTTATTTATTTATTACCAGTAAAAACCACAGAATTAATTTATAAACCATGAACCATGGAAATCAATGGGAATTAGGGGTCTAAAGCCAATTTTGGGTAGATCTGGGCTGGTACCAAATTGTTCAGGTGCAATAAGCTCTGCCTTAACAGGGGAATTCACAGTCTTGCTTTTCCTGCCTGGCTCTGGGAAATAGTTAAAGAGTAAACTTTGATGCACTTCAGGCAGGATCCCACATGGAAAACTACCTAAATTTACCAATAAAGCAGAACAAGAACCATTTGCCTTGTTTTATAGTCAGTGTCCCAGTTTTTGGAAGCATCAGGGGACAACACTGTTTGAACAGGAATCACCCTTAAAAATAACCACAGTGGAAAGAATTAACCAGATACACAAATTATTTTTATTCTTTATTTTCTGCCATATCACTCCTATAATAACTTGCCTGGATTACAATGTTACTTCTGTGAAGTCCATCACTGTATTTACAGTAGGAGAGCTTAAAGATTTCAGATATAAACCAGGACTCCACATAACTAAGTGCTAAACAGGCATTGAAGAGATAAACAGGTCCTACTCTTACATGACGTTTTTGTTAGCTAGAACTACATCTTGAACTTTTGAAAGATATTTTAAATGCTGACATTCAGGTGTCTGAAAACCAGAGAAAAATTTATTTAAAACTTTTGAAATTTAAAGTGATGCCTTTCTTATTTTCACAGAATTCGAAACGTATTTGTACGAGCTTTTTCAACTTCACGTTCATGTTATATTTGAAAAATTAATTCTGTGGTTTTTACTGGTGACAAACTGGTGCTTTCTTGTTGCAAATCTGGTGTCTTTTAAAGATTCAAAATTCGAGAATATGTCAACAGAAAAATCGGATATTTTACTCAAGGGCTGCTGTGTTTTGCATTTTTGATGGGGAAAAAAAATCAAGAAAAAAAATTATTAGCTCTCTAGGAGAACATCTGTTTGTGATTGACTTAAATCATTAGTCTGGGGTTTTGTTTTGGTGGGTTCTTTTCTCTTGAGAAGCAATCTTCAAGCTTGTTTCTATCCTTCCTAATAAAAATCTCCAATTTTCCTGTATCAGTTCCGAAGAGACCAAAGTGCTCCATTTTCACAAGGGGGAGAAAATAGCAGTGATTAAGTTGAGCTCCACACCTCTGAATAGAAAACAGAGATTTTTTATGGAAAGCAGCCACAGCTGCACATAACAACATGCATTAGTGCATCTTGCAGGGAAATGAAATCGAACAGCAAGACACGATCATAAGCCTATCTTGGAGTGTAGTCAATTTGTCCAGTAAATATTGTGGCATTAACAGTTTTATTTGTTGATCATTTCTGATGTTAATGGTAATGGGCCCCTTTGGTATTGGGATATTTATGTCTGACAGCGTGGCGCAATTTACATTAATAAGACTCATTAATTTCAGATGGTTTCTACTATGGAGGAAGGAAATATTAGGGGTGTTTTGTGGGTTTTTTTCCAACATTAGTCTCTCTCTCTCTCCACACAGCGCAGAGCCACTAAGCTACATGGTTGTACAAAAATGAATCAATGAATGCTCCCTTGTTGTTGCTGTTAATGATTTCCTTGCCTGCCAAGGATGAGGGTGGATAGCTGTCTCTTGGAGGAACTATCTTCCTTCCACATTTTACTTAGACTTTTCATTTTTTCCTTGTTATTTCCTTTTTGTTGTTTGGTTGGTTTTGTTCTCTTTTTTGTTTGTTTGTTTTTCTTTTTATGATGGTTTATTTATTTATTTATTTATTTATTTATTTATTTTGTCTCTGTTAAACTCAATCTCAAAAAAAAAAAGAAATATTTCTATTTCCTTCTCCCATTTCCTACATCCTCTTCGCTTCCATGATGATGACAATCCTGGCCATGAGTTAAAATCTGGATGCTAAAATTAATTACAAGTTTGTGAGAGGATTTATACAAGAAATGACAATTCCTTCCTTGAAAATGGTACGAATGACTCAGTTCTTTCCTGTGTTCAATTTTTATAACAGGAAATAGAAAGCTAATTACTGGTTATTAAGGGCTTTCTAAATCTCCCTCTCTTTTATTAGTTGGACAATGAACAGTTACTTCATATGAGATGGGAAAAGTCAAAGCAAATAATTTATTGGGACTGATTTCCATAATGGGTTTTCAGGCACAGACTCACAGCACTGGCAGCTGACATGACTGCCACTGTCCTGCCTTAGCTTCAAAACCTTTTCCATTCTTCCTGAAAATGGAAAATTCAGTATTTTAGCTCTTTAAAACTGAGACAAAAGTGCTCTGACTTGCAATATCTAATTCCACAATGTAAACTTTCCGGTTTCATTTGAATTTTTTCATAATATCTTCTCTTATTTTATTTTGTAGTCTGGAAAAAATAAATTTGAAAGTGTGCTTTTTCAAGAAACCCAGAAAACATGAGACTTTCTTAAGGAAATTAATCTAGGAAGTTAATTGTACAGGTAAAGCTGAGGAGTAGGGTTTTGGAATTAAAATGTGAGGTTTTAGTATTAGAAAGAAAAGGAAACAGGGTTTAATTCAGATCCCACTGAAGAGAGAGAGTTGGGGTTGTTCAACCTAGAGAAGTGAAGGCTTTAGGGAGACCTTAGAACTCCTTCCAGTGCCTAAAGGGGCTCCAAGAGAGCTGGAGAGGAACTTTGGACAAGGGCCTGGAGGGACAGGAAAAGGGGGCAGGGTTAGATTAGAGATTAGGAATAAATTCTTGGCTGTGAGGGTGGTGAGACCCTGGTACGGGTTACCCAGAGAGGTTGTGGATGCCCATCCCTGCAAGTGTTCAAGGCCAGGATCATACCATGGTTTGGGCTGGAAGGGACCTTAATGATCACTTTTTTCTGTCCCCCCACCATGGGCAGGGATACCTTCCACTATCCCAGGTTGCTCCAAGCTCTGTCCAACCTGATCTTGGACATTTCCAGGGATGGGGCAGCCACAACTTCTCTGAGCAACCTGTGCCAGGCCCTCACCACCCTCATATACTTCATCTACCTTCATATACCCTCCAAGTGTTTTTAACCATTTTCTTTTTCTATCAGTCCTTCTTTTACTGATTGAATAAAGAGATGAGGTTTGATGAGAACAAATAGCCCTGCTCAGAATTCCCCCTCTTTCATTACTTGTTGACAGTTTCATTATTACTGTTGAAACGAACCGGAAGCATAAATTCACCCTCTTCCCTTTTTCCTGACCACAGGCAGATGCTCAACAGCAGTGGGAAACATAACTGTCTCCCCATTTCCCTGCAGCAAACCAAAATTGCTACCCCTGGAGCTGAGTGAGATTTCAGGGACAAGCTGAGAAACGTACATTTCTTATGATGATCATGATTAAAACTTCCTCTGTGTGTGTTCACGTCCTTTATTTCCGTCATAGACCAGAGTGGCTCTGTCTGTAAGGCAAACTCCCCCTTGGTGGGTGCTTTCTAAAGCTGCCAACAAAAATTGCAATAAAACAATGAAGGGAGATATAAAATAGAAATAACAATGCAATGGAACAAGTTTACTATGCTGAATTAATGTCCTTATGGCACTATCATATTAACTCTCCAATTCATATTTACATGGTGACTGCAGAGAAATCCAGATAAGGTTTATTTTCACCCAGTGTCCCATGTGCTTCACAGCCACACAGTTGTCTTGCATATGAGCAGCTTGTGGGTGTCACCTACTAGTTCCCCAAGACACAACTTTACTAACTCAATCAGCAATATCAGGTTAGTCCTATGCAGACTGGGGGATGAACAGATCAAGAGCTGCCCTGCCAAGGAGGACTTGGGGGTGCTGATGGGTGAGAGGCTGGAAATGCCCTGGCCAGGTGCTCTGGGAGCCCAGAAACCTCCCATGTCCTGGGCTCATCCCACAACATGGGCAGCAAGGGAGGGGGTGATTCTGCCCCTCTGCCCCCTCAGGTGAGACTCCATTTGCAGAGCTGCCTCCAGGTCTGGGGAACAGCACAGGCAGGACATGAACCTGTTGGAGTGAGTCCAGAGGAGGCCATCAAGATGATCAGAGGGATGGAGCACCTCTGCTATGAGGAAAGGCTGAGAGAATTGGGATTGTTCAGCCTGGAGAAGAGAAGGCTCCAGGGTAACCTAGTTGTAGCCTTCCAGCAGCTGAAGGGACCCAACAGGAGAGATGGAAAGAGACTATTTATAAGGGTCTGGAGTGGCAAGACAAGGGGCAATGGCTTCAAAATGACAGAGAGTAGGGTTAGATTAGATATTGGAAGAAATTTGTCCTGTGAGGGTGATGAGGCACAGAAACAGGTTACCCAGAGAATTTGTGGATATCCCATCCCTGGTAGAGTTCAAGGCCAGGCTGGAAGGGACTTTGAGAAACCTGGTCTAGTGGAAGGTGTCCCTGCCCGCAGCAGGGGCGTTAGAATGAGATGATCTTTAGGGTCCCTTCCAACCCAGGTCTTTCTATGACTCCATGGAATTAAATTGTCTACAGGTCTGAGCCATGTGTGCTTTGGGTCTGTCATGGATCATAGAATCACAGAACCTTTCCTAAAACACCTCCAGGGACTGTGACTTTGCCACGTCCCTGGGCAGCCCATTCCAATGTCTAATCACCCCTTCCGTGAAGAAATTCTTCCAACCTAAATCTCCCTTGGCTCAGCTTAAGTCACATTGCTGGTTGCTGGGGAGAAGAGGCTGACTCCCACCTGGCTACAACCTCCTTTCAGGGAGTTGTAAAGAGCAATGAGATCCCCCCCTGAGCCTCCTCTACTCTAGGCTATACATCCCCAGCTCCCTCAGCTGCTCCTCATCACACTTGTGTTCCAGCCCCCAGGTGCTGATGTTCACCCAGCCCTCTTCCCAAGATTTCCATGTGCATTTTGGCCTAACAAGGGCCAAGAACCATTTCCAACAGAAAATTTGGATTCATTATCTCTGCTTTGATGAATAACAATGATAGAGACTGCTCATTCATATACACCAGCCAAGCTGCATTCAGAGCCATCTTAACTGTTGATGCCACTGTTACTGGTACATCATGCAAAAGTCAAGGGAGCCTGATCCTAAAGGTCATTTGAATAAAGGAGCTTTGAGATTTTTGGTTCTAGAAAATTTTATCCAAATCTGCAAAAACACATTATTGCATTTCACACACAACACAAGTGAAATATATGTCCTATTTGGTCCTGAGTTTAATACAATTCACAGCCAACTCTGGTGAATTGTGCCTTCTTTGAAGTCCCCTTGATCATTTCTTCAAGTAATTTTAACCCTTTACACAAATATTAAACAATGTTGTTTTTGTCTCCTTGACCTAAGTCTCGATTCCTCCTTTAACATGTAGATCCCACTCATCCTCCCTTTTCCCCTCAGTCACTTTCCACCATCAGACTATACACAGTTGAGGTAATGGGATCTTTTATCCATTGCAGCACATTTCAACCTGTAGTTTGTGGTGTGCAAATATAGCTTACTTTGATTTAAGTTCAATCCACAGATTTTCTGCCCTCCCAGGCTTCTGGATAATTTCTATGTCTACTTTATAGATTTCACTAGTATAAAAATCTGCTATTATTTTTTTTCATAATTTTTTCAAAGCTGAGCCATTTGACGGGAAAAACCTTTGGTCCAGAGTTTACATCCACCCATTTGTTTTGTTTTTGAGGGGTGGTGGTTTTTAAATTCTTTTTTCCTTTTTTTTTTCTTTTTGATCTTTTGAAATATTTCTAATAAAAGATCTTACTATTTCAAAGAGCAAACTAAAAGAATCATCAAGACATACTTAGTCCTGCTTGAGGAATCACTTAAAACAAGATCAGGGATGTTGTTCATGTGAAACCCTCCCAGATTTGGCCAAACTAGGAGTTTTTGGGAACTGCTCAGTAATAAGACGGTGCAATTATCCAGTGGTTTAGTCTGAGCTCAGCATGACTCAGCCCCTCACGTCTCCTAGAACACTGTAGATCATTGTCTACTTTTCCAAGCTCCTTGGTCTCAGAGCTGAACAACTTGGGCCTGGAAGTCTGTAAAGACCATGGAGACAAGGGAAAACCTTATGAGCAGCTTAGCAGGGGGCTTTTGATGTGGTAGTAGAGAGAAACAGCCAAATCTTGCTGTTAACTGCCTCTGTCAATGGGAGCTGGGGTTTGAATCCTGTGGGTAGATTTGTGCTGGCAGAGTGCAGATCAGAGGAAGGAAAAAGAAACTGCAAAATACATTAAAAAATTGTATGGTGGAGAAATATGAGTCCAATTGTGTTGCTGTCTAGGTGATTACCTGGCCTGAGAAAAAACTCACATTGTTTCCTGTGGAAACCAACCTGCAACGTGCTGTTGGGGTGAGCCCAGAGGAGGCCACAAAGATGATCTAAGGGCTGGAGCACCTCTGCTATGGAGTCAAGGATGGGAGGGCTGAGGGTGTTCAGCCTGGAGAAGTGAAGGGTCTAGGGAGACCTTAAAGTCCTTTCCAGTGCCTAAAGGGGCTCCAAGAGACCCGGAGAGGGGCTTTGGACAAGAGTATGTACTGATAGGCCAAGGGGGAAAGGTTTTAAACTGAAAGAGGAGAGATTTACATTAGATGTTAGAGAGAAATGTTTCCCTGTGAGGGTGGTGAGGCGCAGAAACAGGTTGCCCAGAGAAGCTATAGCTGCCTCATTCCTGGAAGTGTTCAAATCCAGGTTGGATGGGACTTGGAACAACCTGGGATAGTGGAAGGTGTCCATGTGCATGGTAGGGTGTTGGAACAGGGTGGTCTTCAAGGTCCTTTCCAAGCCAAAGTCAAACATTCTGGAATTCTATGATTCTATGCTATCAGATCATTAACAATTCTTAAGGAGTAGCCATGTGTTAATAACCTTCATCCTGGAACTATTAAAATAAGGATTTTCATATTTAGTATTCTTTAAAGATTCTTTTTCTCGTTTATTTTGTTGTCTGAATTTAGCATCTGCTTCCCTCAGACACCAAATGAACCCAGCTACTACTGCTCATGGTTCTGAGTCTGTCCATGTCCAATTTCAAAGAAGAGTCACTTGACTGACTTCTGGGCTTTTCACAGTGCCCTAAAAGCTGTAGTCTGTTTTCTCCAGGAAAACTGAAGTAAAGGAAGCAAATTAGTTGTAACCACTCCCCATGCCAATTATCCAGACCATGTTATGTATAAATATTTCTTTACCCATCCAAGCAGTAACACAGACAGCTGCTTGCAGAAGTCACCTTCCAAAAGGTGCTTGTGCCCTTGAAGAGAGCACCAGGATATTTTTGTGATGTGCGACAGCTGCATTTGCAGTTGTTCCTCCATATCTGAATATGCTCCCTAAGTGGATTTGCTTTTGGTTCTCTGCTGAAAACAAGGTTCCCATTCTCAACGGTGACACAGCTCGAAATAAATCTACATCACTAAAAAGAAAAAAAAAAAAGAGAGAGAAAAGCCACGGTTAAGAGTAAATTAAAGCAGATATGTGGGCTTTGATCAAGTTACGAGCAGGCAGAAGTGTTAATATACTGGAACGTTTTCACAGCGGAAATGAATTACACCATCGGCCCTGCAACTGTAAAGTCGAGCGGAAATTGTAACAAAAAAAAAAGCAACAACTGGGTCTAAACTCTGAAGGATGTTGGCAAATGTCCAGGAAAAGGTATGGCTGGTGCCAAGCTTGCATAAAAGAATGGTTTAACAGCCACTCCAATTGCTATAACTGACTCTTTTTTTTTCTTTTTTCTTCTTTTTTATCCCCTTTTTTTTTTCTCTTAGCTGTTTTTCCTATTGTAACTAATCTCATTAAATAAGGCCCATTGTCTCTCCCCCTCAGACAACAGGCTCATTCACAGGAGCTGTGCCAGGCATTGAGATCCTTCAGCGGGGTTTGAAAGGGACAACAGCACATCATAAAAAAATAGAACGGATTGAGTGTGTTCCACCCTGAAAGGCAGGAAAAAGCCTACACAGCATGTCTGAAATTCAGCACTATTTGAAGACATCTATTGGAAAAGCTTGTGTGAAATCCTATCAATGCCTAAGATTATTGGAAGGTGGGAGAGGGAAGTACTTTGGGCATGTCTGATGATTCCATAAACCTATGGCAGTGTGACAAAAGAGAGGATCAGCCACTAGGATTAGTGTGTGGGTGATGGAAGGAAGGTAAAATTTAATGCAGAGAAAGGTCAAGTTTAAGGATCTGATACAACTCCCTTAATGGAATTGGGAAGTTTTGTACTGAATTATTAAAGAATTATAGCAACTCTAGTTATAAAATACTTCATCATTTTTCCACTCCTTCCCTTTTTTTGGAAGAACACTTGGTTAAATTAAAGGCGGTCATCAAAAAGCTTCTCAGGAAATAAAGAAATCACCCTAACCTTAGTGATAACAATAACACAGAGATCTGCAAAAGAATATCTTAATAATTATTACTGTGAGTAACCAGTATTTGCAACTAAAATTCTGAGACAAACCTAAGTATTTGGAATAGATGATCTTAAGAGTCTTTTCCAGTTTAAATGATTCTACGATTTCACCAGCTCAAGTGAGAAACATTTGCTATCAAGGCCTTGAAGTCTAAAGGGAAGAGAACAGTAGAGTGAGTAAAGGCAAAGAAGGGAATAGAGATAAGTGTCACACAGGCTAGTTCTGATCTGACTCCCACGGGAGCCTGTGCATGCAGTACATCACATCAAATTGTGTCATGCTGGAGAATATTCAGGTTCTACCAGAAGCATCACGCTGTTGGCATTATACTCCGTCTACATAATATTTCCTGCTCTTCGGATGAAATAAACAGCTTGGTCAGAATCATAGAATCATTAGGGTTAGAAAAGACTTGTAAGATCACTGAACTCAGCGTGAACTTGATTCTGTACAGTAGGAGTTTATCTCATCTGTCCCAGGACACAAGGAAACTCTTTACATACCAGGGAAGTATTTCCAGGTCACTTCGCTTTGTGTCTGGGGACTTTCTCCGTGTCTGGGGCTTAAATATGGCCTTCTTGTGGTTGATTGTGGGAATAGTAACAACAATTTACATCTATAGTCTTAAAGGTCACTTTTTCACAAAAGCACGAAAAATTTTAAAAAAGAAATATTCTAATCTTCAGATGCCAGATGAGGACACTGAGGTATAAGTTGCACGTAGGTAAAACCAAAAGCAACAACAGTCCTTTTGTTGGTCTTCTGTTCGTTTGTGGGTAGCACAAAGCAGATTTCACCCATTTGTTTTTGTGTTTACATTCCTCCGTCTTTCTCACTATTTTGGCCTTCTCTTCTTGTTCTTCTGTCTTTTCCACTTACTTCACATATCCCCTGCCAAACACTCATGTTCCTATGCCCAGTGTGTCCACAGATTTCACCAGACTCAGGTGAGAGGTAGTCACAGTTAAACAAGCCCTTCGTTATTTCATAGAATTGTAGAATCATTAGGGTTGGAAAAACCTTCTCAGATCACTGAGTCCAACTCTTAACCCAGCGCTACCAAGCCCACCACTAAACCATATTGCTCAGTGCCACATCTGCACATCTTTTAAATACCTCCAGGGGTGGTGACTCCATCACTGACTTGGGCAACCTGTTTCAATTCTTGACCACTCTTTCAGTGAGCAGATTTTTCCTAATAGTCAATCTAAACCTCCACTGGTGAAGCTTGAGGCCGTTTTGTCTCATTCTGTCACTTGTTACCTGGGAGAAAAGACCAACCTCCACCTCACTACAACACCCTCTTTTAGGTAGTTTAAACGCTCAGTTCAAACTCTCTGCACCTCCTCTATAGGATCTTGTGGGGAAATTAATAGACTACAGGTTCTACTTAAAGGGAAAAATAGCAAAGAATTTGACTTAAAATTTCTTTTTCTGACTGAGCATGGCCAATACCTTTCAATCTTACTAAAGAAAGTCAAGATCTTCTGGAGTTTTGACCATCACTGAGCACATGCTTGGGTTGCCCTGAGGAAAATTTCTCTGGCTAAGAAAATAACCATCATATAAATGGAAAAACAAATGTAGGGGCAGGTAACCCTCCTGTACAAATAGTATTCTCAGTGCAACGATAACCACGATGTCAACTTCCAGGTGAGTTTCCATTCAGTGTTGCTACTGAGGACAGTGAGATCCATGTGAACTAATTAACTTGTATCCTGGAGAAGGAAGTTGTCACTAAGGAAATGCAGAAAAAAGCAAAACTGAAACATCATAGACCCTGGCCTGTAGCAACAGGAATAAACCACAAATAGTAAGTAGATTAAAAATAACTGTCATGTTGCATCACAGAAGCCCTGGCACTTCTCTCTGCAGTGGTTTTCATTAGCAGTTGCAGTTAAGAACAGCAAGAATCTGTTCTTCTCATTTCCATTAATATCTTAAGAAACAGAGGCATTGTGGGCAAATCAAACTCAACTGGAACACGAAGTAAATCCCTCAGCCATAGCCAATTTGGATCTCATTTTACACAGAGCTAATCTAGATTTAAACCTGCTGAATTAGACTTATTATTGCAGTCAAGTCATCAAGAGCTGACTCGGATCCTTATTATCAGGTATAAGAAGATTGTGAATGCTCATCTGGTGTGAGCCACCTAGGTACAACACCGGAGTCAACAGAGCTATTTATATTTAATTATTTATATACATATATAATTATTTATGATTTATACCTGGTGATCTGCATCCCTAGTTGTTTTAGTGTTTTACATAAAAATCTGGACTGTTGCTGGGTGATGCAGCTGGTCTGGTGGTTCAGTGACAGAGATGCTTCCACTAACAGAATTTTGAGCTCTTTGCAGAGACAGGAAAAATATTACTGATTACTTTTAATATTTGGAATCTTCAATAAAACTTTTAATTTTTATTAAAGTACTTTTCGTGCTTTAGATCTCTTGCCTGTGATATTACATGTATGATGTATTAGGAAGTAGGAGTCCACTGAAGAATTATTTGATAACATCATAGATCTACTCTGTGTATTTGTATACAGGGATAAATTTTTCATTCTTTCATTAAAATGTCGTGGTTGTGAAAAGGTGTGGCCTTACCACCTGTATGGAAATTCCTTACAGAAGTTCTGAGATCTTCCTACCAGCTACCACATTTGAATTGCAAGGTAGATAATTTCCATGCACTGACATTCTTTCAAGTATTTACTGTCTCTGCCTTCATTTATAGAAAGAGTTTTGTGGGTTTTCTTAAAGGAAAAAAAGCTCACCGAGTGTGAAATAGGATAATGAGAGTTATAATTGTGGGATGCAAAGTCTTTGGGGAAGTTATAGTTATTTTGTTGTTTTTATATATAGAAAAGAGCAAAATGGAGCCCTTCTTGATTAAGTTAGTTCAACACTAGGAATAATATGCATAACAAACAGTAGTAATT